CTGCACCCCGGCACGGTGGCAGTGGGGGGAGCTGCTCAGGGCAGCACCATCAGGGTAACGTCTCCAGCACAGCCAAGATGCTCAGTGAGGCTCAGCCAACGTATCAATTAAAAGAGAAGGGAAAACGTTTAACGCTTCAATAGCCCCGTGTTTAGATAGACATGGCTCAAGAGGCTCATTCATCTCCTCCCATCCTGCCCAGCCGGCCATTCAGGGGCAGACAGACAGACCCGCCGGAGCTTCCCCTGCCGCTGCCGGCACTGCATCAAAATGCCAAGTGCTCCACTGCCTGCCCTGACATTTACAGAGCAGCTCCCGGGGGAGCCGGGGCGGGTGCCGCCATGAAACATTGATTAGAGTTATACTTGATCAACATTACGGCAGCAGCGCCTTATTGCAGCGACTTGTTAGAGGGGAACTGTCACCACCAGCACCCCAGGGCAGCTGCTCCAGCCCCAGAGCTGCAGCAAGGAGGGACTGAGCCAAGGGCAAGGTGGGAGAAGACACAAGCCATGTCCCACACTGCTAGGGGTCCCCATCTCACCTGCACCGTGGAGACAAACTGGATGGTGCTGACCAGGGCCAGGGAGGTGCCGGCTGCAAAGTTGAAGCGAATGGTCTCGAGGAAATGGGACGCGTCGATCTTAATGTCCACAAACACATAGAGCATCTTCAGCCCCTGCGTGGCATCGATGGGGACTGGTGGGAGGAGGAGAGAGTGTGAGGGTGGGGTACACCCAGGACCCCAGCCAGAGCCCTGACTGCCAGGGCTCCCTGCACCCCAACCACCCTGGTGCGGGCTGGCCAGGGTGGGCTGTGCCACCCCTCTGCCCAGGCTGGCACCCCAGGGGAGCAGGGGGTGCAGATGGGAGCAGTGGAGAGCACCTGTTCATTTCCCTCCGGAAAATGGCAGCCTGGGGAATCAATGAACACAAATCTAATTACCCCCGGTGCTAAGAAGCCTGTGTCACCACGATTAAGTGAATAATTAAAGTACATGGAGTCCACATCGATCCCCAGCTCCGCGTTCACTTCCCATTTTGGTGCTCTTCACCTGATCACCATTAAGTGCAAATCACTCCCTGCCACGGGGCACGTGGGGCCGGGAGGGAGGGGGCCAGTGTGCCCCACCCCATGGGGCTCCCTGCGAAGGGGGCTGTGCTCAGACAGTGCCAGGAGCACCAAAAGGAGCTCAGCACCCTCTCATCACCCTGGGGGCACCCCATGACCCATCCAGAGTGGTGCTGGCAGGGACCACACAGCCACGAGCAGCAGAAGGTGGCAGGGGGGGGGACAAGCAGCCTGGCAGCACCTGCCCGTCCTTGTAGGGAGCAGCTCCAGAAGATGTGACTCCCGTTGCCCAGAGCAGCCCAGCACTGTGGGATGTGGCCCCTTCGTGCTGTTCATTCCTTTCATAGCAGGCTACAAACCAGGGGTTTTATATTCCCTGTTCAGTGGTGCCTGTAACCCTCCTTCTGTAACCAGGGGTGGGGACAAGCAGCCTGGCAGCACCTGCCCGTCCTTGTAGGGAGCAGCTCCAGAAGATGTGACTCCCGTTGCCCAGAGCAGCCCAGCACTGTGGGATGTGGCCCCTTCGTGCTGTTCATTCCTTTCATAGCAGGCTACAAACCAGGGGTTTTATATTCCCTGTTCAGTGGTGCCTGTAACCCTCCTTCTGTAACAAAGCACCTCGTGCAGATATTTATCACCACGAACACTCAGGCCGACGTGGCTTTCAGGACACAGTTCTCAAGCGGGGAGTCAGTATTTCACACGGAGCCCGACACAATTCCTCAAACCCATTTTTACAGCCCCATAAACCTCCAGGCAGGCTGGAGGGTGCCAGGAGCACGGCAGCAGCGGGGACACAGGCACCTGCCGCTCGCTACGGCAATTCTGCAGATCCACCTTAAAAACCCAGAGCGTCTTATTGTTATTTTTGGGCTGATTCCATCCTGGGTGGACTTCAAAGTTAGCAGCATCTGGGACAGCAGCACAGTTTCCATGGCAACTGGATCCAGAGTACCGTCCGCCTGGGGAGCACGAAGCCTCCTCCTCCCTTCCCCGCCCAGCCTGAACTGCTCCCACAAAGCCGCTTTCCTCAGGGTGAGCAGGACCTCCCAGGTTGTCGTTCCTCTCCACTGTCCCTCTTTACTACCCCCAAAAAACTGCAGGGTGGGGGGAGAGAGCAGCCCCCTCCCCATCGGTGGCTCCTGGGGTCCTGCCCAG